TGAGGCTGATCCTGCCCGCCCCCGGGAGCGCCGCACGTGCGGCAGCCTGCCCACCTTCCAACAGGTTCGCAGTGACAGTGGGCATGACGCGATTAACGAAGCCACTGAGCGGCCCCCGTAACTCTTCCAAGGAACCAGGTCCCAGGGGAGCCTTTACCTGCTGCAGCTCTTCAAAGGTCTCCTGGCAGCACTCGCAAAACCCCCTCTTTTTCTTCGGCGTAGCGACCGGTGTGGATCGGGGGCTCCTCTCGCCCTCGCTGCGCATGGGACAGTCCTCCAGACCCCTGCAAGGTGACAGCAGAGATCTTCCCTGCCCTGGCTTGACAGCGTCAGCGGGCACCAGCTGCCTGCGTCAGGGCCGGGGAGGCCGTGCTGCCTCGGAGCTACGGCCGTTCCACCCAGAGCAGGGCTCCTTCTGCCCACATCCAGCAGGCCGGTGGCTCTCTAAACCCCAGGAGCTAGCAGGGCTGCAGTTAGCAGAGACCTGGGGTAAAAACTTCTACAGAAGGAGCTAGAACCTACCTGGCTCTGCACGAACGCGAGGGGCTTTTGGGAGGTTCAAATGGGCTGGAGCTTTTGGGTGCCAGGAAGTTCAGGTCAGGAAAGCTCTTGAACTGGTGATGGAAGGGTCGGAATTGCCTGCAAGCAGCAGATCAGGACATCAGAGCTGTCCCCACCTCAGCGGGGCTCCCGGTGCCGTCCCCGTGTGACGGGATACTGGCCACCGCTGTCTGTCCACCTGCCTGTTCAGAGATTTCCCGTTTCTCACTGGAAGTACTCAGCCGGACCCCCAGTTATGGACGGGGGCAGGCCTGCCCGCCAAGCCCACCCTCCGCCCCGAGGCGCAGCAGCAGCCACTGCAGTATTTCCAGCTGCAGAGCAGCACGGGAAGGCTTTGGTTCCCAGACCAACATCTCCTCACACTCTGTTCCACGCAGGGTGTAAAACCCACAGTTTGACTCTGCAGCTGCCTTGGATGTTGTCTCCAGCAGAATTAATTAGCGCTGCGGACACCGTTAGAGTTACGGCGCTGTCGGGAGCGCCGCAGCCATCAGCTCCCCTTCTGCTGGGGGCTGTAATCGAGTTACGGGCCCCGACCTCGTGTTTCAGTCTCGCTCCTCGTTTCAGAGGGCTCAAGCAGATTACGTGACCCGCCGAGGATGGCAAACAGGATCCGAGCAAGGAGGTGAACCCTGCTGCCCGGTCTCGTTTAACACCCTTCCCCCCGACACACGAGCCACCGAGATCGTCTCGCTGCACTCCGTCTGCCTCCCTCCAGGAGCGGGGCAGCAGCCCAGCGTGCAGCGGGGTCTGCAGAGCGGCCACGCTCTGCCTCGTGAGCACAACATTCACTGCCCAGGCAGAACAGGTAAAGGATCCCCTCCCTGGGAGCCCCTGCGGCTTCGATACGGTCTGGCTGCGATGTTTAGAAAAACCTCATTTACCTGCTCTGGTCTTCAACCTTCAGAAAAGGGGGCTTCAGTTTGCCTGCCAGAAAGAAAGCTGGTTAGGAGCTGCCCTGGCCAAATCCCCGACCTCCTCATTCCCTCCCCAGCAGAACTGGGCTGCAGAGAAAAGCTCACCGGCGCTTCCCACGCCTGTGAATGCCAAGCAACAGCCAAGCGCAGCCGGCACAGC